AATTAAAACCTTTTTTTTCGAACCGACGGTGCCACCATCGTATATTTGATAACAATATTAATCTTACAGGATTTCACAACAATGTGGGAAGACGAGACAATACCCCAACTTACTCCCTTACCTAATCTAACCTAACCTAACCTAACTGCCAAAGTTAGTGACGCGTATCAATAAAGAAAAAAATCTCTGTGGCTCAAATAATTTCGATGACCTACCCTTCATAATAATATTGTTATACCTTCCGATAAAAATTMTAATTTCCTTCTATCAATACCCACCCGCCCATATTTAAGGTGTTTCCTGAGTAACATCTAGAGTCCTGGGGCGTAATTTGAGGGGGTGGCAGGGTGTGCGGTTKCACCCCTTACTTTTAGAATGTTACAATTGGCCTGTGCCTTGCTGAAGCCTAAAATAATGCACGAGGCACGAATGCACAATTATTTATATGATTAAAATCAAATTGTAATAACCGGTCTATAATGTATGGAAATAATTGAATGCAGTATAATATACATATACGTATGTATATCTATTTTATATGGCCTGGTGAAATTTCAAAATGGCCTGCTTGAAACTTCGCACACCCGAAAAAAACTCTGAAATTACGCCCCTTATTTAGACTACGTTACACGGCGATGGGTCCAAAAAAGGTTAAAAAAAACTTTTAATTTTTAAGTACAATTAGATAATTTTATTTTAAAAATTACAAAACCATAGTCTGTAAGTAGATAAAATACATTGGCGATTTCGATACAAATAAAATTACAGGTACATAAATATATCATATCGTAAATTTAGGTATATGTATAACACGGCTTATAAATTAATAATTATTATAATAATATATATTATAAATAAAATATATACATACATATTTTAGGTAATGTATAAAAACGTTATAATATAATATCCATAAATCGATTACCTATAGGTATAGAAAATATATTTATATAAATAGGTATAAAATGTAATAGTGTTGATAGAAAAAAATATCACAAAATTTGTCAGACATTGTAACAACGTTGAGTTTATGACGACACAATGTAGCCGCAACACTACTGCAACCTCGGATAAAGGTTGGAGTAAATGGTTGGTACAGAAGTCAAAGGTTTAAAAACCCATMTTTATAAAATAACAATTTCTGTAAACAAGTAGGCGTTTTGCGATGTACACCTGCTTAATATAATTTTATATATTTTTACTATAAATCGTATGTGCAAGATGTCAGGATGATTCACTAAGTTGCTCACCTATAATAATGCAGTTCTCATTAAATATACATATATCATATTTACTTAAAGACCATATTATTAAATGAAAGAGAGTTTTTTTATTACCTTCATAAGGAGTTTCTTTTTAAGATACAAACTTATATATTTTAATGAGAATTGGGAAGTTCTGATATAGAAAGTGCCTACTGTACATTGTAGATTATTTAATGGATCGTTTTTCTGAAAATGCAGACATATCGAAATCAAAATTCGAACGAGTCGTTTTTGAGTTATAATGCTGGGCTTAGGAATTTGGAATATAATATAGGAGTCGCAATGAATTGAATATTTTAGTAATCATTAATCTATCGACCATATACATTTTTAATTTGTTAAAAGTATTATCAATTATTAAAAAACATTTTTAAGGACTATTATCTTTAGTAGAAACATTTAAATGGTTGAAAAACTATTCATTCGAATTTTGAATTAGGTACCAATTTATTTATATCAAAATTAAAAACAATTATCCACTACATTTTACAGCAAAAGGGG